ACTCTTTCCTTAGATTCCTTGATGTCAATTAACATATTTCATTCACAATGCAAAGCATTTTTAGCAAAAACAAAAACAAAAAGCAAACAAAAACAAATAAAAACTCAAAGTCTCCTCAAAGTTTTGAGCAATAAAACATTCACAAACATAATGAAACAATGATCTCAGGTTGCTTCTTGATAACATCTTGCACATTACACATATACTTTTCATAATTGTACCTTGTTTGCACTGTTATGATTACCAGATAATTTATAAAGAAGGCAAGTACCTCATTATCATGATATGCCCATTGGCACAAAAGCATGCCAAGCAGGCACTGTTACACATGACCACCACATCTGCTTGCAGTATAAAAGATGTCTCGGTGATGTTATGAACATAGAGGCAAGTCTGAGAAGGCAGTGAGAAGACTTTGGCTTGTTTTTCTGAGCAGATTATTGTATACTGATGATCTATTTCTTGGGATGGAGAGGGGCAGTTCATGACCAGCTTTCTTCTCCAAGATTTCTCATTTTCATCTATGTTGTTTGGATCCCTCCAGACTTCATATGGTGGTTGCATTAATCTGCCAGTTCGGTCCATACAGGAGAATGTTAGGACAGCTCCTTTCAATGAGAGGAATGTACCTATAAAAACAATTTCATATCACTGGCACATGAAATTCTAAAACAGCTGCTATTCATCTATGGGCGATAAATGTTTTATATTATGATAATTCATATCTATAGTGTCATAATATTGCAGTATTATACATAAATCAGTAGATTTGTGAGTTCATCAGTTGCAATAACTTGGAATCATAAAAGGTAGGGTCTAAAAGGAGTCTAAGACATCAACTTGTCAAATCCTCTCATATTAATGAGAAAACAGAGACCCAGAAAAATGATGAGACGGGCCAGGTCACATAGCAAGTCAGTGGCTGAGCCTGGACTAGAACTCAGGTTTCCTAATTCCTAATCCAGTATCCTTTCACTATACTATATAGTATTCATTAAAATATTTTTTTAAAGAGCAAATTTTAGAAAATTTATAATTTTAATTTATTGAATAACCAGCTGAAAAAAAAATGCCAACTGATTCTACTTCTTTATTTTATAGACTCATTCACTAGAAAATGCTATTTTTCTTCTTCTGAAAATGAACACTCAGAATATTTCATGAAATTTAAATATCTAGAGTTCATGCTAGCAATTTTGATTGTATTAAAAAAAAATCCAAACTAGCTTTGGTGTTTAGGCAGGCTTATGCATCTTTTATACAGAAAAATGGTTTACTCACCTAGAATCTCCAAGGTTGAATATCCATGCCAGACTATTACCTATGGGTGATTTTTACCAGTCCCAGAGACAAGATACTATGAAGCTTAGGAAGTAACTTGGGGTAGACTGACCTTTGGACATTTCCAGATTCTCCCCTAAGCAGCGCCCTAGCAGCCTTTTCTTTCCTTTCTCCTTTGACATCATGTAGAGAGAGTAAGGAAGTTATCCCAGGCTGATATACCTCAGGAGTGTACATGTACCAGAGACTTAGGAAGGGTGTTATAAAAATACATTCCATTTAGAAAGTACTTTATAAAGTATTTAAAATTAAAAAACATGTTTAGATGATGTAACATGATTTTTTAAAAAAACTCAGGAAGTCCAAAATATAGCCTCTACTATTTCAGAAGTACACATTCTTTGCATTGTACTGTGGAATTAAGGCTCAGGAAACCAGCACAAAATATTCTGGCAACTGTGATTATCCTTTATCTCTGATCCAAGAGTCTCACGTCTTCTATCAGCATCCATGAAACTGGCAACTTAAATTTATTAGCTTGCAAGTAAAGTAAAATCTCAAACTATTCACAGATCTTGACCTTCTGGAGCAGTTACGGGCAGACTTATAGGAGATGAGATCAGAGAGAATACGGAACTAAGTCATGTAGGTTCTTGTAGGACACAGTAAAGACTTAGACTTTTACTTGGTATGAGATGGGAAGATTTTGAGAATAGAGTAATATAATCTAATTTCCATTTAACAGGATCACTCTTCATGCTAGGTATATCCTAAAGGGAGTCAAGGTTGGAAGAAAGGAGAGCAGTTAAAAGGTTAGTACAATAATTCAGGTGAGAAATGGATAGAGGCTTGCTCAAAGCAGGTGGTAATAGTATAAAGGGTGAGAAATGGTCAGAATCTGAGTATATTACAAAGGTCAAGCCAACAGAATATGCCAGTAAGTTGGAGTTCGAGTGTGAAAGAGATACAGTGGTCAAGATTGATTCTAATGCTTTTGACCTGAGAAACTGGAAGGATGGAATTGCCATTAACAGATATGGGAAAGACTGTGGGAGAAAGGAAAGGAATATTAGGAACTCAGTTTGGAACATAAGTTTGAGATACTTATTAGACATCCAAGTGTATGTCATATACCTATAACTGGATACCTATGTCAGGAATTTGGGGATAGGCCAGACTATAAATATAAATATATGACCCATTAGATTACAAAAGGCATTTAAGGTAATGAGGCTGGCTGATTTCATGTAGGGCTTGAATATAAATAGAAAACAGAAAAGGTTTAAGGAGTCTGTCTTTGAGCATGCCGGTGTTTTAAGTCCAGTGAAATGTAGAGGAGCGAGCAAAGGGGACTGAAAAAGAATGGCTGTAAAGGTGGAATAAAACTAGGTAAATAAAGTATCCTGGAATCTAAGCGAAAAGTGCAATGTTATAAGGTAGGGA